ATTTCCAACAAGACTACTGTCAATATATGAGTAACATCATGGTCGTTTTTCACAAGCAAAACGGTGATTTTTCAGAATTTTTCAGATCATGTTCATTATAATCCAATCACAACTATTACCACGATTTGTAACACGATGGTCTGATAAACTGAACTAAATACTTTAAAACTTTATAACGACCGTGACGTTTTTCACAGAATAAATTTTACACTTACTACAGGATAATGGGTATATATAATCGGTAGAAGGTGAGAAGCAAATACACTGCTGTCATCACACTATGACTGTATTGTTTTCATGCCAACAGAACCAAAATGAATAGATGCGACCCCTTATAACTGAGATATGACATGTTTTCACAGGCATGTTGTCCCGTTTCATCAACAAATTCACGAAATTCACAACTTAGGCCATAAGAAGTAGATTCTTTGTTTTGCGTCCTGGCAAAATCCAAATCATGCAAGGGTACAAGGAAAACAAACACAAACTCAAGAACAAGAAAAAACACAAACTTGTTTGCTGAGAAATGTATACATGTTATGGGCATAAAAAGGGATGACATACCAATTTGCAGTGATTACAAACACATATCTATTCATTTATACAATAAATAAACATAGCTATTATTCAAGGGTAAAAAATAAGAAAATACACAATGTATGCCAAAGTAATTATAACACTGTCAATTTTGACGCCGTCAAATTATCCACCATTTCATCTGATTCTGATTGAACAAAATGCGATGGTACTTGCAGACCCTTGTGATTGCTATTTGGATGTGTTTGTTTTTTTCTAATTTACTCAAAATCGTGCATACAAGGGGACGCAAAACAAAGAATCTACTTCTTATGGCCTTATTCGCGAGTTATCAAAGCTATTTACAACCGGAATGATCAATACGTATGCTGACCGAATTTAGATAAAATACATATAACAATGAAAAAAAATCATTTTCGTTTTAGCTATTTTCAATTACATAAAATATACCCATTTTTAACATTTATTGGTTTTGAATGAAATGACATAGATTTCAAAGCTATTTAGAAACTCCTCTAACCCCTAGGTTGTGTTAGTGGAATCGTTCGGATTCGGCGGAGTTTTAAATATCGCGGTTATTACCAGGGCTACTCAGATGAATTAAGATTGACCAGTTTTGATGAACGCAGATATTTGCTATATTGGAACTTTTAATAAATATTGGCAGGTTATTATTTAATGTCACTTTTTGTAATGAACAAAATGCTTGCTGAATGAGTAGCTATTTAAAATCATGAAAGCGTCCTAAGTATATATCACATATTTCATTGCATGTTTTACTGATCTTTTAACTGTTTTTGAATATTTTTAACTAAATGAAAATATATACGGTAACAAAATTAATTAAATACGCGCTGTGTTTTGAACTTTATTAGGAATTACATTAAATTTTGTAAAATTGTCTTTTCCTGCCGTGGGAAGCTACGCCTTTTCCATCTCCACCTCCGGGACGCTATGCAAACTGTATACGTCATTCTCATGAAGTTTAACTGATTTATCTTTGTGGAGTATTGGATTCAGTAGTATTCGATTTCGGTCTAATCATGGGTTTTCGAGTATTGGGGCTCGAACAAGGGCAGCAATACTTCATATATATTATGTTGAGGACGGGGGTTCGTCCAGATGAAACACACAATGCAGGAAGATCATACCGCCGTATTCTGCATTAACCGATATATTTGCTTGAATTCTGCTCCAAGTCAGATCAAAGAATGCGTTCATAGCGTACCAATTGTACTTATATACTGTATACGTAAATCGTGAAATTAACGGGCATATCAGGAGTTCTACGATTGTTCACCGTACTTTAGTTTTAATACGCCTATGTTTGTTATCATCCCACTGGCGGATCCAGATCCAGATCCATCTTGCAACCCCCCCCCCTTTTTTTAGGACCCCAAAAATTGTTTTGCTCGAAAATAATTACATATGGCCTTAAAAATGAGTCTTTTTGGGCATGATATGGCATTTTTAGGCCAAATTTTCTAAGAATGGGGTTTAAATTTTCATCTGGATCCGCCAGTGTGGTCAAAGTTGTTAAATCCAAAAAGACCAAATAATTGCGATATTGAATGTGCAACTTATTACAGTACACCTCTCCCGATGAGTGACACGTGTTGCTAAAAACTATCCAATCCTGCACATAGAACGCATGCATGATACAAAAAATGCTGGGATTGAAATTGTATCGTAGTGTAAGCCAATTTAGTGACCGAATTACTCAGTTGGAGTAACAATTCCCGGGGAAACTTTCCCGGGGACAGATAACTATTCCCTCTATTGACTAAACCAGGTACTACTACTCCACTCCACCTTTTGAAAATAACTAACTCATATATATTTTCATCTATATTGTTTTAGAAAACACATCAAACACTTGTTTTGATCTTGGTATGATGTTTCCAGAGTGAAATGAGACATCTTTCCGAACCTCAATGGAACAAACCGACATAAACACAACATAAATTTTGGTTCATTTCAAAAAAGTATATTGTTAATGAAATAAAAGGTTTATCTTGATTTTCATCTATTTTGGGGGGATTTTGTTTTAATTTTTTGAATACTTTTTTAAAATCAGCCCAAAACAAAAAATTCCTTTGTATAACTATAATATTGAGAGGCCTAAAATTATGTTGTATGCTATTTTGTTCCGACAAGGTTCGGAAATACATTTTATTTCATAGCGCATGAGTGATGGATTTTGTTCATTCTGTGATGCAAAAAGAAGGACACTGTTCAACACAGAATTTTGAAATGTATTCGTTTTAATGATGAGCGCCAATCACTTTATTTTAGTATAAGACAGAAATGTAATGAAATCATATTTTCCTATTTTATCTCTGCAAGTTCAGACAAGAACACAAATGTGTACAAAATGTCCCCACCAATGGGTGATCCCATCAAATGCTTATCCTAAAGATGTCCAGTCCTCAAACACAATTCGAGGACGGAAAATCCAAAATGGCCTCCTTAAAATTTACCCAGAATGCCAAAAAATTTTAATTGATCCGTCACATAGGTAACCAGAAAACATGTAAACAAGACTTCTACAGACAAGATTTTAGGATGGAAAATTCAAAATGGCTGCCTAATGACATTTACCCAGAATGTCAAAAAACTAATCTGTTAATTCTAGATTTTCATACTAAGAATCATCCCTGAAAATATGACATTGATCTACCAAATGGTTCACCTGAAAACGCGTAGACAAGACTTTACAGACAAGAATTTAGGACAGAAAATCCAAAATGGCTGCCTTGACATTTACACAGAATGCCAAAAAACTGATCAGATGTAGATTCTCACACTATGAATCATCCCTGAAAATTTGAAATTGATGTACCAAACGGTTCACCTAAAAACGCGTAGACAAGACTTTACAGACAAGATTTTAGGATGGAAAATCCAAGATGGCTGCCTTGACATTTACCCAAAATGCCAAAAAACTAATCAGTTCTACATTTTCATACTAAGAATCATCCCTGAAAATTTGAAATTGTTCTATCAAACGGTTCATCTGAAAACGCGTAGAGAAGACTTTACAGACAAGATTTGGAAAATCCAAAATGGCTGCCTTGATATTTACCCAAAATACCAAAAAACTAATCAGATCTAGATTTTTAAACTAAGAATCATCCCTGAAAATTTGAAATTGATCTACCAAACGGTTCACCTGAAAACGCGTAGACAAGACTTTACAGATAAGATTTGAGGACGGAAAATCCAAAATGGCTGCCTTGACATTTACCCAGAATGCCAAAAAACTAATCAGATCTAGATTTTTAAAATAAGAATCATCCTTGAAAATTTAGAATTGATCCACCAAACGGTTCACCTGAAAACACGTAGACAAGACTTCACAGACAAGAATTTAGGATGGAAAAATCCAAAATGGCCGACAATAAAAAAGTGATTATGAGTGTTTGCTGATTTCTTTTTACAAAATTATCACATATATCTACTGTTAACAATAACATAGGCTTTTACAACAAAGTACATCTGAAATTATTTATAAAGCTACTAAATAGCTAAAGTATGAAAACTCAAAAACACCATTCAATATGATACAAAGTATTATCGTGCGCTAACTTTTCTTAAGACATTCAAAATGGCTGACATGACAGCTAACAGGTCCAAAACCTAATCAGATCTAGAATAAAGTGAGCTGAACACGATGTTAAATATTTAAAAGCAACTGTGAAGCCGTTTTTCTGAAAGTTTGCAGACAAGGATTTTAGCATTTGACTTCAAAATGGCCGACAGGAAGTAGGTATCGAGTTAATTTTTTTTCATCCATATCTGTATGCACTCATAAGTTATCCCTGAAAATTTGAAGGTGATATCTGTAGTGGTTTTGGAGAAAACTCCTGGACGTGAGGACGGACGGACAGACGGACGGACGGACGGACAGACGGACGGACGGACGGACGGACGGACGGACAGACAGACGGACGCGCCTAGGCCGAAAATATGGCCCCACACTATGTGGTTGGGACATAAAAAGAAACATGGTTTTATATTAGGTGATGATGTATTTTTATTATGGGGGCATGATAAATTAAAAAATGCTGACAAGAGTGTAAAAACATTTTAAAGTAAAGTATACACGCCTAGAAATATGAGTGTGACTTAATCCCACACATCTAATGTTTGGTACTTTGTTTTAAATACTGTTACATGTTTTAGACGCACCTATAATAATTTAATTTTAGTGTACCATCGTTTCAAAGATGTAGATTCTAAATAAATAATAAAATAAAAAAATATTCTAACAATATCACCTTCAATGGATTTTGAGAATAAATGGATTTTGGATATTTGGGAAGAGAGAAATTAATTGATTAGAAATGACAAACAGACACGGTATTTTGACTGATTGACAGATGCTATCACCTGATAGCTGGTACAAACTTATAGAGGTCTAATCGCAGAGCTCCGATTTGGGAATTATTGACATGCTATTTTGAATTTCTTAGTACTCACAGAATATTAACTTTTATTTATTTTTACAACTTGCTATAACTAATGATAGTATCAGGCTACCTTATGCAGTAATTGGAGGACTTAATACAACGTATTCTTTTTTCTGAGTATGAAATATCAATCCCCCTTTGAGAGGTGGTTGCAAACATGTTGTGTTGACATAAAAATAGCGCATATTAAATGTCATTGATATTAATACACATGTCATAGGCTTTGGTAGATTAACAGAATTTGTCTAGATTTGAAAATATCTATTATCGTGCCCATCTACCATTAGCAAGGACCAAAAAGTAGTAGAAGCAATTTATATGTTTCTAATACTTTGAATTAAGAATACTATGGAGAATTTTTTGAATATTTCATTTAAGTTTATTAGCTATGTTTCCAAATTAGTTTCAACAGAATTTGCAATTAAGTGCATTTATTTTGTTTTTTAAGATAAACAGTATATGTAGGGTGTCCAAAAAGTTCATACACTCCATCCGCCAAAATGTTAATAGTGTTGTATAATCCTATTTTATCGTGATATTTTCATATAAATCGTCAATCAGTTTGGATCCTACTTTTAGCTGGTCACACAGTCAATCGTACCTTCGTCACCTGTAAATAAGATATATTAATTTGGAATTATAGATTTGGAATTCAATAATATAAGCCTACACGACCTGACTTGGACGTGACGTTGATTGTGTTTATCTTCCTATATGAATGATACGTTCAATTGACTCAGTATGTGACTTTTAATTAGGCTCTTGTGTAAAATGAGCAACACTATACTTACTGTGTGCAGCTGAATCACAGAGTTTCTGAAATATTCCATTAGCCTTGATCTTTCTAAATCCTTCATCCCAAAGAGCTAAAACATATTACAAGTTGAAAGGTATACTATGCAGAAATGAACCGCATCAGTATTCAGAATGGAACCCTCAACTACTTTTTCACACCAGTTAGTTTTGCCCTACTTTTGACTTTATCATGTTTATTACTAGAATATTAGTTTTTATTATATCACTATCTAGCTAGCGACAGTATGATTGGTCAAAACCGGGTCACATGTCGTGGGATATATAAGGGTTATGTACTGGGAGGTTTTGGATCCAGGGTTTATCCCAAGGGAAATATGTGTATCTCACGAGGGACCGCAGGGACCGAGGGAGATACAAATATTCCCGCGGGATAAACACTGGATCCAAAACCGACCGTACATAACTGGTGTATCTCATACTTGAGTGGGTTTGGGGTAGATATTACTTTTTCCACCTTTTTCAAATGACAAGATAGGCCTATACTGTAAAAGCACAATTTATATTTAACATTTTCATAATATTCCTTCAGTTCAATACAATAGAATTGTAACCTTTAAACTTTTTGAAAAATTTTAAACTTCTGAAATTTAAATTTTTTAACTTTTGAAAAAATTCCCGGGAGCGGGATGGATATATTATATCTGCCCGCATTTGGCCTAGAGCGGGACATATACAATATATCCTGCCCGCTCCTCAGATATGATATATATTCCCGGGTGATATCTTCCCCAAACCCACTCAAGTATGAAATACCTGGCGATATTCAATGGCAATTCTATTCGGATAAGACAACCGTGAGATATCTAGCGATATCCCACGCTCCCGGGAATTTTCAAAGAATTTGTTTTCGTTCAGTGTAAATAATTTAGTTCAGTGTAAGTCAAAATGACAGACGAACCGAGTAGGTTCGTAAAAATATCTGAAGACTTAATGACTTAATAATATTAGGGATGTTAAGCTAAACAGTGATATAATAAAACAAATATTTCACTCTATTTTCGTTGAATACCTGTAGCACTTTCACAAGGTGATATTCCACTTGCCCTTCGGGCTTCGTGGAATATCACTTGTGAAAGATGTACAGGTATTCACCTCAATAGAGTGAAATATTTGTTCAATATCATTTAAAGGGCTTTAAAAAATACTATTTACCATTCGATCGGTCTGTAAAATCACTTAAGTTAATTTTTAGACGTCCATAATATACATTATTGTTTACCTAGGAAAGGACTGTCTTTTCTGGCCATTACTGCATTTCCACCGAGCTTACACAAAATATCACCGCCTGATTTTTTCACCTTCTTTTCAGTAATGGCTTGTTTCATATTCTCCTCACCTGAGAAACCTGCGGTTACCTTTATAAGGGCGACGAATCATGATTATTTTACAAGGTATTTTATAATTGTATTATATACAGCGAGAACTATCAAACATATAGAGGTTCTCATATGAGTACCTGTGCAAGATCGTCCATTCTTGATGAGCTTCGATAATTTTTCTTTATCGAGTCGCAGACGTAAAAAGAAACATTATCAAAGCGAGTCAAGAATGGACGATGTTGCACAGGTACGAGTATGAGAAAGTTTTTCTCATATGACTCTGCATTATGCCATATTTTCACCTTTTTATGATAAAACTAAGTGAAAAATAGCTTGAAATTAATGGAGCTTCATTTTTCAATTGCTATGACGTCATACCAATATTGTAGAAAATACATGGAAACGCGTTGCAACAAAGCTACATTGTTATGACGTCACAGCTTAGTTTTGTAGAATGAGCATGGATACGCATAGCAACGGTGTACCCGTTGCCATGTTGTTGATGTTTATAAAGCAGTTATGTCACAAGTAAATCTCATCTTGCACGTGTGACTTTTTAGGATGAAAGATGGCAATATCTTGCATGGGGTAAAGATGGCTGTATCTTAGTTAGCCATATGAGAAATCGTTATCTAAGGTTTGACACAGGCGTCTATTCAACCCCCCAAATCTTACACAATCCGACTAAAATTGCCCCATGGTTATAGCTTTGGTTGGCTAATGGTCATGATATGTTTTGGTTTTAGATCTTGATGTTAATAATGGTTGGTATTTAAGACCATGTGCTATGGTGGGTTTGTTTTCATACTTTTATTAATCTTAGTCATGGTCTTAGCAGAATAAATTTGGTAACATGAAGGCATACCTCGCCTCTGACGATCTTATCGATTAGTTCTCCAGGGCCATTCACGTGGACAACATTATCAGGCTGTATGTACGCCCCTATGATTTTGTCGTTTTGTCTGGCTACACATTTTTCATCAGAAGAATAGCTATCCAAAAATCCTATGAAACGAAATGTCAAAATATGAAAAACGTTAAAATAATACAAGAATTGAGTTTGCAGCTGATAGAGAAAATAAAACAATTAACTTACCTATTTTCTTCCCCGTAATGTTTGTCGGATCGAACATGGTATCGTCAAATTTTACGTAAAATTGAGCCGGGATGAGCTTGCGATACGACTGTGAGAAAGAGAAAACGTGGGTTCTTCCAACCGTTGGAGACCAGTTCATACACGCATCGTACCATCCGTCAAGAAGACCTGTGTAAACATAAAAGAAAATGATTGCATTGAAATGTGAATACTCGAAGAACTAAACCACTCTAACCCCTAGAAATGCATAAGATATTCTGTTTGTCTAATTGTATTGTTTAGTATATTTTTGAAAGTACCTTATTTACATCTTACAGTCATCCGATAAACCATTCATAAGGAACAGACAAATAAAAACAAATCATACAATCATTACTAATAAGCCAAATAGGTTGTTCATGAACACCAAATGCAAGGTATAGTCAAATGAAACTAATAGTTTTTAAATAGGCCTTTCCAATAAACTACAGCTATGACATCATCTGATTTTATTGATCAGCTTTGTTATCAAATTGGAGGGTTAAACCTCATCTGGAGAGATTTGAATCTTATTCTGAACTTTGAACTTCTCCCTTGCTTGAGAGAATCTTACCTTGTCCTCCCATGGAGTGCTCTCCCGGTTCTGAATCCCAACAATTGGTATATTTGTCCCATATTGTCCTACAATCCATATCAACTGCCTTACATACTACAATTGAAAGGAGTCACGAAGAGCAATAAATTGGCGAAGCAATTGCACCGCCTACCTCTTGTCTGGCTGCGCTCAGCAGGGGCGGATCTGGGAACCAACAAGGGGGGGGGGGGCAAATTTCAGGTCAGAGAAAAAAATGTGGGCCCCTAAAACCCGCCAGTACTCAGGGTATCCCCCTAATCCGCTAGTGCTCAGGGTATCTACTCTTTGATACACAAAAGAACATTATTCCAAACTGACAACAAAATTCGCCCAAAATCGACCAGTTTCAATAAAATGTTCAACAAGCTCAAATCTTCTTAAAGCTACGTTCACACCAACGGCAAATGCCACGCTTTAAATCGGCGAGAAAAGCGCCGTCATTTTTGTCATTTTTGTTCATACCAACGGCGCTTTGATGGCGCTTTAACTGTTTAAACATTTTGGGCGCTCTGTTACGAATTGATTAAAGCCACGAGAGCGTATCGAAGCTTAACAAACCGTAACAAAGCTCAGAAAAGCTTGATCCAAAGCGTAGGAAAGCTTAACATAGCTCTGATAGGTTCCTCACGCTTTGATCCCGTTTTGACCAGGCTTTGTTACGCATAAAATCACGCTTTGATAAGCTTTGATAAGCATTATTACGCTTTGATGCGATAATGACGCTTTAAATCAGGCTCTGATACGATTTCCAAGCTCTGTTGTCACGGTGTATAACCCAAACGCTCCTACATGCACGACGGAGCGTTTCATTACTGAAATTAAACAAAGAAACGCTCCGGAGTAGGAAAACTGTCTGGCGGGAATGATGAGCCGTCTGACAATTTCCCCAATAATGGGAATAAGAGGTATGAGTTACATATTTCGAGTATACCATTCGATGGGTGTGATATTCATGGTGTACGTGGCTGGCTGTTGACGTTTGAAGCAATTAGGAAGAGCTGTACGAAGCAATATAGTATCAAAATTCAAAAACGTTTTTGTCATTCTACCGGTCAAAACCCCTTTTGTCGATACATGTGATTAGTTGAGCCAAGATTAGAGCACCAACGTATATTTTAGTCAAATTCCAATGCTTCAACGCACCATACATTATCGTAATAGTGATTTGATGACCGAAAATCCAGTCTTAAAAATGATGACATTCTCATATTCAAGAAACGCTCCGATCTGGTTAACACAGTGAATTGGAAACGCTCCGGTAGTCTAGATCAGTTAAGGAAATATATAGCTTGCCTTTCCTTTTCAGGAAGAGAAAGAAAAGATCTATTATACCCCTTGGCATCAATAGAAGAAAGATTAATTCACATATAACTTTTCGTTTTTTTTCTATAGTTTTATGATTTAGCACATATGTAGGCATGACATCATCTAATGTATAGGCTTAAATCAGCTAGTTGCACGTTTAGCACCACCGGGTCAGATGTTTCAATTTGCCTAACAAGTACAACACGTTTTTGAGAGATAGATTCGATTCGGAACTCTTCTCTAATAATCTGAAAATGGTATCAAAACAAAATGGTAAGAGCGTTTCTAAAATTGTGGTCTAAATCGACGGAGCGTTTCGAGGAAAACAAGCGATTTCTCGAGAACAAGTAATGGATTTGGACTGGGATTTTAGGAAATGAGAATATACGAGTTTGTGATCTACTACTTAAACAGAAAGATTAACGTTTTCATAGAAATACTAGTTTAATTCGTAATTTGTGGTCAAATCGTCATCTTCAGATTCGTTCGATCTACACTACGGAGCTTTGATCAAGCAAATAACAGTTTACCACCAGAAGTTGAATAAATAAGAACTTTGCTCACGGTATTGTTCATCGAATGGTACATAATATTTCACCATGACATATGATATGTAAGAGAAACGAGAGAAACAATACTTACGGTCATAGTAGAATCTTCATTAGCCGCCATTTTATTTCGCTCCGGAGCGTTTCCGCGTAAATGTAACGCTCCGTCGTGCATGTAGGAGCGTTTGGGTTATACACCGTGGTTGTGCATTGTTACGCTCTGTAAAGCTCTGTCACGCATTGGAAAATGTCGAGATCGCCAATTTCACGCCGCTTTTGATCCAATGACTATATAAAGATGCAGTAGATCCATAAAACCATTGCATCTTTGACTCGAGAACACGATGGCAGAACAAGATCCAGAAATTCCAGATGGACCAGAGCATGACCTATCTGAAGAAGACATGATGTTTGTCGCACGGCGTGATATAGCGTGTGGAGACTTGTCAAGCGTAACAAAGCCTAACAAAGCGTTTCAATCCTTGATTAAAGTGTCTCAATTCGTTGGAAAGCTTGAGAGTCCTCACTTTGAAAGTGTAACAAAGAGTGTTAGATATTGATGAAAGCGTCTGACCTCATGTCAGATCTTCATGCCAGATTGTAGCAAATCTTGAGACATCTTAACGAAGCGTGTCAAGTGGTAACAGACAGTGAAGAGACAGGGGTCCCCGCTTTGAACCAAGCTCTGTAAAGCTTTCCTACGCTTTGGGCCACGCTTTGCTGAGCTTTGTTACGATTTGTTAAGCTTTGATACGCTCTCTGCGCTTTTATCAATTCGTAAATGAGCGCCCAAAATTTTTAAACAGTTTAAAAATTTTTGGCGCTCTTGCCGATTATCCCGCTTTACTCCGAGCCTTTCTACGACCCCGACGCTTTAATCAAGCTTTGTTACGCTTTGGTGCCGCTTTACAAGCCGCTTTAAAGCACCATCAAAGCGCCGTTGGTGCGAACGTAGCTTGAACAGTTTTAATTTTTGAGCTCTTGCCGAATATCCCGCTTTACTCCGAGCTTTTCTACTACCTATTACGACCCCGAAGCTTTAATCAAGCTTTGTTGCCGCTTTACAAGCCGCTTTAAAGCGCCATCAAAGCGCCATTGGTGTGAACGTAGCTTAACTGGTACAAAAAATGCGTCTTTGACCGAGTGTTTTGGCCCATTTGAAATATAAACAACATTTGTGCAAGGAGTTTTTTTTATACATTCTAGTTCCCTTACCTGCTTGAAGAAGGTCATAGGAAAAGCCTTTTAGATACCCTTCACTGTCTCTGGAGATAAATATGAAAGTGCGATACTTTCTCATGTTAAGGTACGTTCACACCAACGGCGAATGCCACGCTTTAAATCGGCGAGCAAAGCGCCGTCATTTTTGTCATTTTTCTTCATACCAACGGCGCTTTGATGGCGCTTTAAAGCGGCTTGTAAAGCGGCACCAAAGCGTAACAAAGTTTGATTAAAGCGTCGGGGTCGAAATAGGTCGTAGAAAAGCTCAGAGTAAAACGGGATATTCGGCAAGAGCGCCAAAAAATTTTGGGCGCTCTGTTACGAATCGATTAAGCGCCGAGAGCGTATCAAAGCTTAACAAACCGTAACAAAGCTCAGAAAAACTTGATCCAAAGCGTAGGAAAGCTTAAGCTCTAAAAGGTTCCTCACGCTTTGATCAGGCTTTGTTACGCTTGAAATCACGCTTTGAAAAGCTTTGATAAGCATTATTACGCTTTGATGCGATTATGACGCTTTAAATCAGGCTCTGATACGATTGCAAAACTCTGTTGTGCATTGTTACGCTCTGTTAAGCTCTGTCACGCATTGGAAAATGTCGAGATCGCCGATTCTATGCCGCTTTTGATCCAATGACTATATAAAGATGCAGTAGATCCATAAAACCATTGCATCTTTGACTCGAGAACACGATGGCAGAACAACGAGATCCAGAAATTCCAGATGGACCAGAGCATGACCTATCTGAAGAAGACATGACGTTTGTCGCACGGCGTGATATAGCGTGTGAAAACTTTCAAGCGTAACAAAGCCTAGCAAAGCGTTTCAATCCTTGATTAAAGCGTCTCAATTCGTTGGAAAGCTTGAGAGTCCCTCAGGAAAGTGTAACAAAGAGTGTCAGATATTGATGAAAGCGTCTGACCTCGTGTCAGATCTTCATGCCAGATCGTAGCAAATCTTGAGACATCTTAACGAAGCGTGTCAAGTGGTAACAGACCGTGAATAGACTGGGGTCCCCGCTTTGAACCAAGCTGTGTTAAGCTTTCCTACGCTTTGAGTCAGGCTTTGTTGAGCTTTGTTACGGTTTGTTAAGCTTTGATACGCTCTCGGCGCTTCAATAATTTCGTAACAGAGCGCCCAAAATTTTTAAACAGTTTAACATTTTTTGGCGCTCTTGCCGAATATCCCGCTTTACTCCGAACTTTTCTACGACCTATTACGATCCCGACGCTTTAATCAAGCTTTGTTCCGCTTTGGTGCCGCTTTACAATCCGCTTTAAAGCGCCATCAAAGCGCCGTTGGTGCGAACGCTTAAACAGTTTAAATTTTTTAGCGCTCTTGCCGAATATCCCGCTTTACTCCCGAGCTTTTCTACGACCTATTACGACCCCGACGCTTTAATTAAGCTTTATTACGCTTTGGTGCCGCTTTACAAGCCGCTTTAAAGCGCCATCAAAGCGCCGTTGGTGTGAACGTACCATGATATAGTGAAACTTGCTTTATGCAAATTGTAGTCTATTGCGTACATGTATGCTTCGTAGTCATGGCTGTTTGCTGTAGTTTACAACATTTTATACGACCTTATATTACATTGTACACTTAAACTTACATATACTCGTATGCTCCATAGTTATGACCATTTGCAATACTCCAGATCCTTTTGCCATTTTGTGAGACCTTCGCCGCTGACCCATCGTCGCGACTGGCACCACCTCCAGCAGCCTTACGTAATGTTAAATTGAGATAATGACAGTTTTTAAGTAATAATACATATACAATAGAACATACATGGTTGCTATTTGTTCTTAGTGTTTCGGTCGTTGTGCATTATTGTCCACTAACAAAAAATGAACAACGAACGTTTACAAACGAAAATAATGACACATCAAGCTAGCAATCAAATAGCAGAACATGTTACATGTTCTTTCCAATGGTATTGTACTGTTTGTGGTCAATTTTGGCAGGGATATATTAAGCTGAGGAATGAATACTACCCAACCCCTTCGATACCTGAACTGTCACGGAGGTTCCAGTGGGTCTGCCCAACGCAACAGCTGCCATGATGAAGCCTATGATTGCCACAACTCCGAATGCCGCAACTAATATAAGCAACAGGCGGGAGTTGACTACAATACACAATGAACAAATAAATTATATGTTGAATATATTACATAAAATAATGTTAATTGATTCCTAAAATGCATGTTGTTTCCTTGGTTGGTTGTTTTTCAGGTATGTTTCAAAGCATCTTATTTAAGGAATAGAAAATCCTAAATACATAATATATTGGATTTAAAAGCACGAGGGCATGCATGTTCTAACTCATACACATAATGCACGAAGGCATAGCCTAAGGGCATTATCAGAATTGGATACATGCATGAAGGCTTTTAATTTCCAGTGCTTGACTCAACCTTACGAGCATTTTGCTCATTGGAGAGGTTAAGCTTTGCATATATAATCGAAACTGAACCTGTACGTATCACTCGACCATATACAAATTCATGTAGCCTTCTCATATAAATAGCCGTTCAAATCCAGTGTTTGTTTAGACTACACCATAGCGTGTAATGATTCTATAGTATGTCATTGATGCGGTTTTATAGCTGGTTTTCTAATACATATTTTAAACGAGCTCGTTCCGTAAGATTTTTGGCGCTAAATCATGCATGACATACATCATCGTGTTCAGCAAGAATTCAACTGTGCATCGAAATCAAAATTGACACCATAGTGTTCAATAGACACGAGTAAAATGGTTCCCGTTGACCCAACGTCAAATATTCAAATCTCCCGTTCTAAACCCGAAACTCTGAAGCTGAAAGAGTATCTGAAGTAGACTAAGCGCGCATAAAACTATGAGCGCTCGATACATTCCTTTGTTAATTTTTGTACTTTGCGTTCACGGTTACGTTGTGAAAAACATCGTTAGCTTAACCTCTCCATTGAATAGTTTTTATACGTCTAACGTGTATATAATTTTGTCATAATTTTGTACTTTTATTTTACACTACTGTACATATAAATTGTTTCTCCATTTTATTATGGGCAATAAAGATATATATATATACAAAGAGATATATACAATACAATACAATACAATATAGAATGATGATAAAGGATTATTACCACCTTGCCGGGCCTATTCTAGGGGTATCTGAATATATCAGATCACAAAATGTAACCAACTAAATTCAGACAAATTATAAAGCTATGTCATTTCTTTATAGTCCAGCGTTTTAATGAATGCACTGGAGCTGAGGCCAAGGAATACAGTCGTAAAAATCTATTAAATTGCGTTTTCTAATGTTATATCAAATATTCGGCTTCATTAATTCAGGCAGTTTAAAAGTTTCACTAATTTCCTACTCACCCTGTCCCCCATTACTGCCCCTTGCCAGATTCACAGTGCTTCCGGTAGCACTCTCTGTACCATTCATTGTGTTCAGCAATCGTTCTCAATTTTTTAAGAATAAAACTTTACCTGGAAATATTTAACCGTGACCCCTGGACATACCTGTTATTGCTATACTAAAAATAAAGCTTTGTGCCAAACGGTTACAAATTTGGCAAAATGCACGAAAGCAGTATGCAGTCACAAGTGTTTGAAACCTTTTCACTTTGATAAATGCCGGTAAAATAGAAGTTTGTTTGATGTATATGAATTCAGCCAGCATTGTGATTTAAGTGAATGGGAGGGGGGGGGGGGTTGACAATTTAGATCAAAAAGGCAGTGCTACTCATCATTTCATAAAAACTGACATAGATATCTTTCTCACTCTCTCCTTTGTATCTCTCTGGCATTTGAAACATTCAACACAAATCTATTGGTATCGTATGGGGCTCTTTATGTGTCAACCCCCCCCCCTCAGAAAATCACAAAAGACTCCTGAATGTTACAATATTACTCCAAGTGCCATAAATGTTCTCCTTTACATTTGCACTGGTGATCCACTCAATAACGTTGGTTACCGTAACGGGATCGTAAAACTAGACTGTTCTGAAGGACTTTCATGAGTTGCCAAACCTTAAAAAAATCTGTAAAATACCCTAATTGTATCTGGCAATATAGTTATAAATGCAATGTACGTTGGCATATAAATTAATACTGTAGCATCAAGCATCAACGGTCTACACAACCTGCAATACATATTTGTAAGTGACATTATCATCATAAAATTAATGACCTTAATGACTTTACAAAATATGTTTCCATACGTTGGTTGTGTAGACCGTTGATGCTTGATTTAAAGCAAAAACATTGACTTTTGCACATTGGTGGCGTTGCGCCTTTTTTAATAGATCTTATACCTCGAGAATCGGCTAAAAGAAATTCGTAGAATACGTGACATATTTTACCATACCGTGCGCCTATTCGTTTAGCAATTAAATCATAAACATTTTCTTGAAAAAATAATTTTTGCAGATTTGTTCATTTTTCTACCAGAAATTGCTTGCTCCCCCCTCCGTCCCATTTTCACGATCACCGGGCATGATAAGGGGTGAATATAAAGATTCTGCGATTGTTGGCAAAATGAGTTCAACCCACCAATGCAATCAATGGGAATGTCCGAAAGGTTCAAAATAAAACTGAAAACTTTAAAAAGATGGCAGATCAATCCTTCAAGATCGGGATTCGCTTCTATTGCAGCTATGTAAAGAATTGAAGTACCCTTGGACCAAGTATGGGCAGATCATTTTCTAGAGGCTACAATTTACTCCATAGAACATTATTTCTAGTTACGACAGCTGCTTCATCTCCATAGTTTATCAGCTCTCATTTATTTTCTAGAATAGTCAGAAAGATGTTTGATGGTAACTTTTTTATACATTTGGACAAAATAATATTTTATTGTTAATCGAGTGTTTTTTTGTTATACAAGATATATAATGCTCATACGGCCAAATGATACATACCTTCAGTTCTTTGTGTAAACCAGAGACATATAAAACATTATCCTACTCTTAGTGTACTAAATATATAATAACATTAAAAAATAAATTTGATATTTATTGGCAAAATGAATATCCGGAGGATATCGTAACGATATTCTCCGGGCGGAGGATATCGTAACGATATACTCCGGAAAACCCAATATGCGGAGGATATTGTGACGATATACTCCGCTTGTTGATTTCCCGCCAAATTGACTCTATTTGGCATGGAATTCATTTTGCAATGATATTATACATTTAGTACACTCCTTGTAAGTGTAGGATAATAAGAAAATCCTATTATTTTTTTCAGAATATCATTTTAATCTACTCTGTGATATTGATATATGCACTCGTTCGCTTCGCTCTCTCATGCAGATATTAATATCACCTCGTAGATAAAAATGATATTCCTCAAAAGCATAGGATATCCTGTAAGTCTCTCGGGGTAGTTACTGTATCAGAAATTTACACCAAACAGAAATGAAAAAACATTTGAAGTAAGATAACTAAGTTCTGCTTTGATCTTCAGTCAGTTGTACTCCTCCCATATATCATTTACATAGCCTGGATCACAATGGTCATGGTAAAAATGACCCTTGCCATGCTGAAAATGTGACTGAAAAAAGGTAAAAGTTAGCGTTTCGGAAAGGTTACTGAACAGAATATTTTGAACTTTTCAGAAAATGTACCCAACATATTGCTTTAATTGACAGGAGCTTTGTCTGATTCACAGAGATTCTGGACAGCGATACCTTAAGAGGAATCCCAACCCCGTCAATACCTGAACTGTCACTGAGGTTCCAGCGGGTCTGCCCAAAGCAACAGCTGCCATGATGAAGCCTATGATTGCTACTACTCCGAGCACCGCAATCAATATAAGCAACAGGCGGGAGTAAAATATATTTAACAAATATCGAATGAGAAGTCCTTCATTGATAAATAATCTAAAAATACCACTCTCAGGGTCGTTACGATAATCTTAAAAGATGAAGCAATTTAAATAAGTGAGGCCAAAGCTGAGAAACAGATTAACATATATTGCATGTAGCAGTGGCTTTCAATTAGCAATTATTTCAATTAGCAATCATCTAATTGAAAGCCCGTGATATTAGATATTTAGTAGTTTTTCATAGTACTTTATTTCCACGTGTTCAATTGAAAAAATATTTTCTTTAAAACCTTTATACTAGAGATAAACAACATGAATGCATTCCCATTTGTTTATCTAAAGAAATATACAACACTTTAACCCATGTCAATGTAAAAAATATTGACAACTACAAAGTTGCCTTGGCTCATTACACTTCACATACATGAATTCGAATGCGATATGCAGGTTAACTGTTCCATTATCACTCCCTGCCCAATTTATCGTATTTCTAGTTGCACATTTCGCTGCTTTCATATAGTGTTCAAGCAATATTACTAGACGTCTTAAAAATCTTAAAAATCTTAAATATGTACAGGGTGTTCAATAAATGAGGTGAAAGATATTGTAAGGCTTATAAAAATGGGCAAATGATGGACGTAACACATGAAACTTTATTGCAGGCAGCACGTTTTATAACTGCATTCTCAGGCCTCAGCTCAGTATCGATTTTGATTTAAATATATGCAGGTCATTTTTTTTTTTTTTTTTTTAAATTAATTTATTAACATTGAAACAACATTTATACAATTTTTACATAATATACAATGGTTACATTGGTACTTATACAGGAATACAGAACTTATTGGTTATAGATTTTACTATTTCTAATTTTCCAAATTTCAAACTTGTGTTTAAACACTAGCTGGTTTCTATGGCATTTGCTCTCAAAATCTCCTTCATTGCTATAAAATAAAATTTCTTTTTCAGAAAACTTTAAATTTTGAGTATTTACATATTCCTTTGCATTCGTACAATTGACAAATAAGTGTTTATGACTTTCTGCTTCAACATTGCATATTTTACAAATTCCATTTGACTTCTGAATTTTTTGTAATTTTTTTTCTGTCCATATGGCTCCATTAAAACATTTAAATATAAATTCTTTAACATTATTGCTAATGTTACATTTAAACAAAATCTTATAAAAATCTGAGAAATCCGTTTGAGCAAACTGCTCAGACCAATACTCTTCTGATTTGGATTCTGTTAAACTGTTTTTTACAAACCCTTTTCTTATTGATTGCACATTGATTTTCTGTACAGGAATACAATTAAAATATATTTTGCTTTCACTGTTTCACTGTTTTAATGCCTCAATCTTGATTCTGTCTAACTTGTTAAAAACTCCTTTAAGTAAATTGTATTGAAGAAAAGTCTGGCCATTAAAACCTACTTTTTGCCCAATTTGATCATAGCTTAATAGTTCATTGTTTACATTACATACATCATTTATTTTATACACACCTTTTTGATGCCAGTTATCAAAATATAAAGGATTGTTCTTGTACAACAAGTCTTTGTTATTTGATATATATGGACTACTTTTAACTGAATTATACATAATCCATGTTTTCAACACATCTGTCCAAAATGAGGACTTAATTCTTTCTAGTCCTTTTACCTGATTAAATTCAACATTAGACAGTAAAATAGAAAAATCTTGACAAATTTTGTCAATAAGATAGGTTGGGAGTTTTTTCCAGTTTGCTTTGTTTCTATCAAGTAGAAGTTTAATCCATTAAATTGCAAAAGCATCTTGAAAATGTTTCACATCTATCATATTTAGACCTCCCTTTGCATTGCCCTGTATCAATATATTTCTTTTAATACATTCTACTACACCTTTTACATCTTCTTCTTTATACACACCTTTGTTACCTGACCAGATATATTTAAAAAACAAACAATTTATCCGTTTAATAATCTTATCTGACAAAATAAAACTTTGCATAATGTATCCAAATTGTGATAGCATTAGTGATTTTACGAGAGTAATTTTACCAAACATGGTTAAACATCTACCTGCCCATCTTTTCATTATTTCTTCACATTTTTTGAATTTATATTCAATATTCTCATCTAATTCAACCACCTTATTGGTTGTGCAAAATGTTACGCCTAATATTTTAATCCTATTATTTGGGAAAATATTCCATTTGATGTTTACTGGTTTTTCAACACAAAATTTTTTATTGCCTAACCATATTGCTTCTGATTTCTGTTTATTTAATTTTAACCCAGATATATTTGAAAAGGCATCAATAATATTGATTGCCTCTTTGACAGATGCAACATCTTTAAGTAAAAGTGACATATCATCAGCGTATTGAACTAGTTTAATTTCATCTATTTCAGATATAACAATACCTTTCACATTATTAGTCTGTCTTATTTTACATGCCACTAGTTCACAGCATAAAATAAAGCAAAAAGCAGATGCAGGGCACCCTTGAGATAAACCTGACTTTAGTGGTATCCACTCGGAGAGCCAACCTCCAAAATTAATGCAGCTTAGCCCATTTGAATTAAGTGTTTTTATCCATTTGATAAAATCAGGACCAAAACCAAAAATTTGGAATGTGTCATACATTAACTCTTTATTTAAACTATCATACGCACGGGAATAATCCAGTGCTACAAGTACACCTTCATCGTCATTGTTACATAAATGTTCTATTACATCATCAATAAGTCTTAAAGCAGTAGCTGGTGTGCGACCTGGTATATATCCACATTGATCATGACTAATTATTTTTCCAATTACTTTTCTGAGCCTATTTGCTAATGATTTTGCTAAAATTTTATAATCAGTGTTTGTTAATGATATTGGCCTCCAACTTGGAAGACACTCCATTGGCAGACCTTTGCCTTTATATAATAAAGTAATTACTCTTTGTCTTTAGGAAGTAGACAACTGTCCATTATTAAAACAATCATTTATAGCTGATACATAAAGTTCATTTATCTTGTTCCAAAAACATTTATAAAAACATGTAGTGAGTCCATCAAGACCTGGACTTGAAGTATTTGACATATTTTTGAGTGCCTGAGTACATTCAGCTAAAGTTATTTGTCCTTCACAAGATTGCATTTCCTCTTCATTTAAAGAGGGCAGTACTACTCCATGTAAATATTCATTCAGTTTGTTTCTGGAGTAATTACTGTTTACACTAAAAATATTTTTATAATAGTTTACTTGAGCACCCATGATATCATTGGGATTGGTGTACAAATTATTTTCTACTCTACATGATTTCATTATTTTACTCTTTCCTCTGCTTTTTTCTAAACCTAAAAAATACTTGGAACTTTTTTCACCTTCTTCAGCCCATTGAACTTTTGCCCTTATTTGGGCACCTCTGGTTTCTACAGCTAAAATGTTATCATACATGAGTTTTAAGTGATTTGCCTGGTTTACCCACAGGGGCTTGTCTCGAGGCGTCGGGCAAGCCCTCCGATGAGTCTACTGCTTATTAATAGTATTAAGGGTGGTCGGTTTTGATGCTACCTGAAATTTGTAGAAAATGATTGTCAGATATATCAAGTAAAAATATATGGAATCCTTTCAATAATCGACATGCTGATTCAAACAACACTACAGAGTAAACTTACCTAAAATGGTAGCAATCCATCCACTAGTTGCTGAGATGTGTGAAGAACATGTAAGGAAGTGATTAAATTTAATTGAAAATGCAAAACACGACAATTTTCACCCTCAAATTGTTAGCTCCAGAGTCGATTTCTTCCTCAAGACACGTCCACTGTTAAAAATCGGTAGTTCCTAGAGTTCTTTGTTTACTTAGGTTCATTTCCGTATATTATTTTTAACGAAGGACAGCCTATAACGACTGCTATACCTAAAATAGATGCATGAAATTATGTTTCGAAACTGAAAATGTGTTCCATGCGCAGTTGCGTTCAATCCAGCAATTTGATTAGTTCATATTATATGAACGCATGCGCAATGACCACATATTTTTCTAGATAGATGTCACTTGCGTTCATTATTTCACACCAGTCCATTCCCATGATGCACCTAATATTGCGGGAATATTTTCCTTTAGTGATAAAACAAATTACTCTCATTTTCGAAATATGTTTTCCGTTCCTTGGCAATAATCTTTCATTTGGTACCGATCCAACCGCCGAAAAGTAATTCGAATCCTTCTGAATTGTGGGAATGAAGTACTTTCATTTTTGCGCATGCGCTGCGCATGCGCATAGAACACGGGAAAGTCGCCATTTTTCAACTTTCAGTTTCGAAACTTAATTTCATGCATCTTTTTGCGTATAGCAGTCGTTATAGGCTGTCCTTCGTTAAAAATAACATACGGGAATGAACCTAAGGAACAAAGAACTCTAAGAACTACCAATTTTTAACAGTGGACGTGTCTTGGGGAAGAAATCGACTCTGGAGGTAATAATTTGGCTGCAAAAAAATTCGGTACTTGCAGTGTAATCACTTCTTAACAAATTATTCAGATTTCTCAGCAACAAGTGGATGGATTGCTACCATTTTAGGTAAGTTTACTCTTTATTGTTGTTTGAATCAGCATGTCGATTATTGAAAGGATTCCATATATTTTTACTTGATATATCTAACAATCATTTTCTACAAATTTCAGGTAGCATCAAAACCGACCACCCTTAATACTATTAATAAGCAGTAGACTCATCGGAGGGCTTGCCCGACGCCTCGAGACAAGCCCCTGTGGGTTTACCAGGTCTACATTTTGGGGATCTTTTGTTAACTTAATCGAAACATTTTTCAAAGATTTATTGATACCTTCTAATTTTTGTCGTTTCTCTTTAGCTTTAGTTTTTCCATATTGAATACTGATTGATTGTACTTTGGATTTAAAATACTCCCATTTTTGTAATGATTGTAATTCTTCTAACTGGGTGATTTCTGTGACTAAATTGTTTACCATGTTTACATATACTATATCTTTTAAAAAACTATCATTGAATTTCCAATATGATGGCCCTCTTTTAAATTCACCGAAATCTAAGTGCATGTATATACCTTTATGATCTGAGTTTGGTACATTTAATATATCACAGGATTCAACATATTCAAAACAGGTTTCATTCGTAAAAATAAAATCAATTTTTCTCATTATTGCTTTTGATTTGTGCCTCCATGTATATTCTTTACAGTCGTCATGTTGTAATCGCCAAACATCGTTTAGTTTTAAACTTTCTACCATATTACAAAAGGCTTTGATTTCAATTTGACTGTGCATTTCACCACATATATTGTCTAATTTACTTAATGTACAGTTAAAATCACCTCCAATCAAAACAGATGATGTAAGTATATTTTTTTGATTTATAGTTCTGGTTACCTTTTTGAAGAAGTCAATTTTTTCCTTTGTTTGGTTTGGAGCATAGATATTAAAAATATACAATGGCTTATCAGAATATTGACATGAAATACCTAAAATTCTTGACTCAGCATGTATGACTTGCATATTTGATATTTCTGTACATTTATCACTAATTAAAATCATTTCACCTTTACTGTGCTTTGTTCCAGCATTATAAAACATTTGCCCTTTCCATATGCAGGTCATATATCATCACCTGTATCAAATACCAAATTAAAGAAAAATTTTCCTCTACTAAACTGTTATCCCTGTATCAAAACACCAAATAAAGAAAGTGACCCCTCTCTCATGCCTTGTATCATGTCAATATAACTCACCCGGTCCCTCAGCATCGCTTCCGGTAAGGTTTATTTTACTTCCAACGGGACCCTCTGCGCTATTCATGGTTATCCCTTGTATATTCGTCCACTAAGGTTGATGTAACGTGTTATGTTGTCCTAAAAAACGCACTGATCGCTATCTGATAGAAATGCTCTACCAGTTCACCTGACCAGTTCTATGTAGTTTTTTTTTTTTAGGTGAAATGATTGTGAATAGTTTGCAAATAAACATTTTGAATCATACATATCGTGGACATGTCAATAGGTCACAAGTTAATACAACAAGCACAGGTAACTGCGTTTGCATCTTCACACGATCGTGCTTGAATGTTTTAGTTTGTTTTTCTAAGACTAAAATCTTGGAAAAAGTTTTTCATTTAATATATTGCAAACATATTTGAATTTCATAAATGCGAAAAATAGAGAGGATAAGATTTACGGGCAACCTAAACGTGAACCTGTATTTCTGCGTACATATACGCGTATATAGTTTTTCTGAATGTTCCTTTTGAGCAGCAAAAATAATCGATTTATTCAACGAAAATGTAAATGGAATAAGGAGTGATATGATTGTTATTCTCGAATAGATATGATATCGTTATCAATATATCAGATATCAATATCCATGAAAAACGATATTTGATGGATTTAGGGAAACGCTGTCAAAATGTTTTTACCACCGATTACGAATCTAGGGATATTTCAAAAAATAGTCTGTACTAGTGCAAAAACGCTTTACTTCAAGCTTATCATTACAAGTTTCTATGTACATCCGCCCGTAATAAACGGTTTACATATCTTAGCATTACGTGATTATTTATACGCCCAAAAGTGAATCTTTTTTATAATGCCATAACCCTCTTATGTCTTCACGATCGACAATTTTGCAATCCCTTGTATTATTATCCATATAATCTTACTACATATGAGGAATGTAGTTGGATGAGTAAGTGTATCCGAAACGCCTAGAAAGATTTGAATGGATACACGGATTTTCAATAATGGAGCCAAAATACGCAAGCATTTTTCAATTAATTATCGGATTTTTGGTTTTGTTATCAGGTGAGACATATTTTGCTTAAATACAATTAAACCAATTCACATGTAAAAATGTACAAAGATATTAAATTGAAAATTGAAAACTCATCTCAAGAGGCAAGCATGTTTACTCAATTTAGCTGCAACTATATCACTTTATGTAATTAAAAATATATGTTTTATTCATTAAAAATATGTATAAAACATGTAAATGTATAAAGATGCCATTATATTCAGAATCAAGTGCGGATTATATTCTGAGTGGAAGTACACCGATTGTAAGTCGTGCACAAGGGCCAGACACTGGGGGATTCAAGACCTTTCTATATGTTGACCCGGGGTCATTGCTTTCTGGTGGTACCGTTGTTTCATTTGAGGCATGGATAGGACGCCTTGCTGATACCCGTTTTCAAGTTTGGAGACACTCGAATAATGAGACCTACACGCTGATTGGTGAAAAGTTCATTCCCGCAAACGAGTTGGTGCTAGGATATTTTAGGGTAATCACAGCTGTATAATACTACGCGTAAATAATGATCTTTATAATCTAAATAGAAGAAAATATTACCCGCTCACGTACAGGTTCTCTTAAAGCGTGTAACTTAACCTCCTTATTGAGAGCATACATGTGGACGAACCAATGATTCCATTTTATTACTAGGTCAATCTGACAGCAGAGGAGCAGTTTCTATGTAACGATGGTGATGTCGCTGGTTTCTATGTACAACAGCAAGAGTTTGCACTGTCAGCAGATTTCTACTTTGAAGAGAGTTTTCTTATGTACTCCCCATTGGCCTTCCCGCCTACCGTGGGGTCATCGGAGGAGTTTGAGTCGATCGCATTGCCGTATAAATTCTCATTCGGTGTGGGGACATTGCCAGGTACAATGCAAATTGATGATAATGATGATATAGTACTCATTAATAGCAATGGTGGGAATTAGGAGGTATCATAAAGATTTGCAAAAACACAAATTAAGCTATCCCAAATTTTGGTCCTAACTTATAGAACACAGGTCTTGATTTTCAAAAATTGTGTACGTTTTACTTTACAAATAGTTTCGTCTAACAAGAGAAGGAGACCTTGTAAATAACAACTATATGGAAAATAAGTCATATGAAATTGCGTCTTTAGAAATTGAAGTTGAAGAATAAATATTCTGCCTTATGTTATTAAAAGTTAAACTTTATTAATTTGTTTTACTTTGGTTTTTGATGATGATGTTTCTTGTACAATTAATATAGCAACTGCCACAACATCGTCGCCTACAACAGCAACCGAGTCCACATCTGAGATATCAACGAATGAAGACCTCACGACTATTACTTCAATAACAGAAGAAGGTACAACTACGGATGACACAACGATTGAACTAACAACAGTTGGTACAACGAATGGACGTGTAATAACATCAGACAAAGCCATTGAGTCAACGACATCTGATGATACAACAACTGAGATGATATCTCTTGGTTCAACAGACGACAGTGTAACATCACCATTCGCCACATCTATTTTAACAACAGCTGATTCTACGACCACAATTGAAACAACAACCGAGATATCGTCAGTGGCTACAGCGGACGATGGTCTAACATCGACAGTTCAAACAGCTGAATTAACAGAAGAAACCATCACTACATCATCAGTGAGTTACGTGCTTGGTGGAAATATTCCAGTTATTGATCGAAGCATAGCCCTTACTGGTGGAGAGAAAAGTTTTTTACTGAGTGACAAAGTTCTCGCAGATGGCCGTTTCGTTGCGGTGGAGGCTTGGATAAATGCTGTGACGTCATTTCACGTTCAGATATGGAGACCCGTTGATATAGCAACTGCCACATATCAACTTGTTGCTGATGTTCTTATCCCTGAAGCAGATGTGAATTTGGATTACTTCAAGGTATCGAATGACAGCGTTCGTTTTATATTTAAACACCTTGTGTCGTCTTCTTTGATTTCAAGTCATATTATTCCTAATACTGTAATAAAAATTGCCTTTTTATCAATATTTTGTAGTATGATGTCCCGTATGCTGATCAACTTGATTTAACTACGAATGACAGGGTAGGATTCTATGCTCCGCAAACACAGATTCCAATAGCAGCGGACTTCGACTTTACACAATTGGGATTATACCAATTTGCAGACTCCTCCGCACCAAGTGTAGGTGATGTTAGGGGTTTCGATACTGTAATGTTCCCATACTCGTTCTCGATTGCTGTTGAAATAGGAATAGGTAATTATGAGCAATAGTTAATCGATTGCTGTTGGTAAAATCGCCACAGCTAAAGGTCATATTTAGAATTTATTTAACTTGCTTTAATGACTGAACAAGGAGTTTATGGCATTTAGTATTTGTGAAAGTTGGGAATGTATTTTTGCAATCTCTTTAAGGATTACCTGCTCTCACTAACATGCCAACCACGGCATCCGAAACAACTGAGGCACAAACAACGGTGTCTCAAACCACAGAGCAAGCAACAACAGTTCTCTCTCAGACAACGCCACTGCAAACAACGGATTCTACAACAGCAAATGCAGAAACGACAGCGTACGAAACAACATCTGAGAACCAAACAAATGATGCACAGACAACAACAGAATCTCAAACGACAGAGAAATACACAACATTATCTCAAATAACAGAGCAACCAGCTTCAGCAAGTTCACAGACAACATCAAAACAAACAACGGATTCTATAACCACAAAGGCAGAAACGACAGCGTACGAAACAACCATGGCATCCCAAACAACTAAGTCACAAACAACAGTGTCTCAAACTACAGAGAAACAAACAACAATATCTCAAACAACAGAACAATCAACAACAGTACTCTCCCAGACAACACCACTACAGACAACGGTTACTCTAACAATGGATGCAGAAACGACAGCGTACGAAACAACAACTGACGTCCATGCAACCGAGGAACAAACAACAGCGTTACAAACAGCCAGCTCACAAGTTACAGAGTCTCAAACGACACGTGTGCCTGATGTCACAACAATTACGTTCACCACAATAGGATCAACTGAAGAAAGCAGTGCAACAGTAACAGCCATTGATCCAACAACCGTTGATGACACGGCAACTGAGTTCACTTCTATTGGTTCAACAAGCGACAGACTAACAACATCACATACCACTTCCTTTTTAACTACAGTTGAACCTACAACTGCAGATAAAACAACACTTGAGATCACTTCGGTAGGATCAACGGAAGACAGCACGATAGATCAAACAAGTGCATTTTCTCAGGAAATTATGACTTCTTCATCAGTGAGTTATGTTCTTGGTGGAAATGTTCCAGTTGTTGATCGGAGCATAACCCTTTCTGGTGGGAAGAAAAGTTTCTTACTGAGTGATAAACTTCTTGCGGATGGGCGTTTCGTCGCAGTCGAAGCATGGATAAATGCTGTGACGTCATTTCACGTACAGATATGGAGACCCGTTGATATAGCAACTGCCACATATCAACTTGTTGCTGATGTTCTCATCGCAGAAGAAAACGTGAATCTGGATTACTTCAAGGTATACTATTGACGAAGCTTCATTATTAATACCTAATTTGATCATCTCTGGCTTAAAATGAAATAAACTTTTCCGTTATTTGATCTGAATTTCATTTGTTTTATATTACTGTTTTGCAGTATGATGTCCCATTTGCTGACCAAGTCGATGTAACTACGAATGATAGGGTAGGATTCTATGCGCCGCAAACACAGATTCCGATAGCAGCGGACTTTGACTTTACACAATTGGGATTATACCAATTTGCAGACTCCTCCGCACCAAATGTAGGGGATGTTAGGGGTTTCGATACTGTAATGTTCCCATACTCGTTCTCGATTGCTGTTGAAATAGGAATAGGTCAGTAAGTTTAAGCGATAGGGAAAATATCATAATTAAATTTTCATTAAACATGCTTTTGTTGATTGTATGTTTCATATTTCATTCAGGATTTCCGGCGTTAACTGATGAACCGACAACAATATCCCAAACAACAATGGCACAAACAACTACGCCTCCAACTACAGAGGCCCAAACAACAGCAACTCAAACACCAGATGCACAAACAACAGCGCCTAAAACAACAGATGCACAAACATCAGCGCCTGAAACAACAGAGGCAGAGACAACAACAACTCAAACACCAGATGCACAAACAACAGCGCCTGAAACAACAGATGCACAAACAACAGCGCCTGAAACAACAGAGGCACAAACAACAGCAACTCAAACACCAGATGCACAAACAACAGCGCCTAAAACAACAGATGCACAAACATCAGCGCCTGAAACAACAGAGGCAGAGACAACAACAACTCAAACACCAGATGCACAAACAACAGCGCCTGAAACAACAGATGCACAAACAACAGCGCCTGAAACAACAGAGGCACAAACAACAGCAACTCAAACACCAGATGCACAAACAACAGCTCCTAAAACAACAGAAGCACAAACAACGGAGCATGAAACAACAGAGGCACAATCAACAGAAGAGCAGAAAACAACATCTCAGACTATAGCGACCCAAACAACTGCATCGTCAACCATGGTGACCCAGATAACAGAGACTGAATCAACAGCGTCTCAAACAACAGAGACACAGACAACAGTGTCTCAAACAACCGAGTCTGAAACAACAGCTTCTCAATCAACGGAAGGACAGGAAACTAAAGGACCAACCACTGTGACTCAAATGATTGAGACAGAATCAACAGCATCTCACACAATTAGCTCTATCCAAACAACCGCAGCTGTGAGCTACGTTCTTGGCGGAAACGTACCAGTGACAGACGGCAGTGTAACGTTGAATGGTGGAAAGAAAAGTTTCTTGCTAAGCGACAAGGCTCTTGCGGATGGGCGTTTTGTAGCTGTCGAGGCGTGGATAAATGCAGTGACGTCATTTCATGTTCAGATATGGAGACCGGTTGATATAGCAACTGCCACATATCAACTTGTTGCTGATGTTCTCATCGCAGAAGAAGATGTGAATCTTGATTACTTTAAGGTAAATAAAACATCTCAATTTTTCCAATTAGCTAACATCAATTAACAATCGTCTATTAAATTGCAAGAATATCTATTCAAGCACATATAGAGAGATGACAACAAATGCATATGAATAGACAAAACCAGCTCTCGACATTGGCAGTGATGCGTATTTTGGTTGTTGATCGGCGGTGTTTTATAATTGTAATCTTCTTGAATAATATCTTTCAGTACGATGTTCCATTAGGTGATCAAGTCGATATAAATGAAGATGACAGAGTGGGTTTCTATGCACCAGGATCCCAAATCCCGATAGCAGCTACATTTGACTTCACTCAAACGGCCGTGTATCAATTTAGCGATGACTCAGCCCCTCAAATAAGTGAACTACGGGACTTTGATACTATCATGTTCCCGTATGCATTTTCTCTTGCTGTTGAAATTGGTATAGGTGAGATTTGTTTCAATACATAATTATAACGTTATACTTTTTTACAATTATGCTTATTTTAAGGACATTTGCAAAATTGCCTTATCCCTCATTTGGTTCCCCATATATATTTGATATGATCAATATCTCACATGAAAACTTATGTATGATACGCTTAGGCCGGTGATTTAAAGGTATTATCATGTTTATTGGATTATTTAAGGTAAATAGATTTCCTCAATCGTAGATACAGGATGGGCCATAAAAGTGGGACACTTTAGAGAAGTGCAATATGTATGGCAGAAACAATCTATCTTTGACAGTAGACGTTCAATATGTAGTTGAAAATGTAGCTCTAATTCGTAAAAAGTCCATGATTTACATTACTAGTATTTGTGTCATCGTGAGACTTTTTACAATCATCAGCGAGTTATTTTATCATTGCTATAACATAATCAACCGACATGCATCCATTTTTATTTTCTGAACCAGGGCGTTTGACTGCGATTTGAAATTTTGTACCATGACTGTAAAGTCCTTGAAGTGATTTTGATTTAACTCTACTGGTTTAGCATACATTGAATGAAGATGATTTTTGCCAAATTTGAAGAGCCAAAACACTATGGCTAGGAAGTCATTTAGTTTTTTGCGGTTGCAGTCGCCCCTGACCGTGTCTAGTACAACTGTCTTTTGAGCAGGTGTCCAAGACATCATGTTTTACAACTAACCATCTACAGGAGCGGTTCCTAGTCAACTCGGACCCTAGTTAACTCGGACCCTAGTCAACTTGGACCTATGTATTTTTTATATTTTTCCTCAGTTGAGCATTAAAATGATAAGGTATATATAAAAACAACATTAATCATATATAATTGTTAGATAGAACAATGGTTGATAATGGTGAAAAATAATTCTGACACTTTTGAGTCAATCATAAACCATTCAGCCTGATTGTGAAATCATATACTGGTAGGAATAAATATTAAATAACCAAGATTTTGATTTTACATGAAACCAGTTAATTTGTCTTCCAAACAAATAGTATGTAACAATAAATTAGAAATTCAAAGGTGAATTAAATGTTGTTGACCTCAATTCTTCAAACCAAGTTAAAAGGGGTAAACATGTTTGTAAACAATTGAAAGCCCATGATTTTTAAGGAATTTCTTATAATGAAAGTAAAAGATAAAGTTTCAAATCAAACGATAACACCATATTTGATAATTTTGTAACTTGTATTTGCAATTCTTTGATTTATTAAATCAAAATATATTTCAAATTCCCTACTCATTGAATATTTTACTAAGGTCACCAAATTATTTAATCATTGTATTTCCACATTTGAAGCTTTGAAATATGAAATAATCATGGATTTTCGACAAACAGAAAGTAATTTTACACACATGTTTAGAAAATGAAATTGGAAATAAAATTGTTTAAAACACAAATGCGCTAACACATTTCCCTATACTGTATATTGGAATTAATGTAATACCTCTATATTTTGTTTACTTCAACACCCTAATTAAATGCTTATCAGAGGATACAAGATTTGTTAATTAGGTTTCTTAGTCAAAGTTATTATAACAGCATTATACACAACAGGCTAAATTGAATTCATTTTTTAAAGACATAGTATAGTTCCAATTCTACATAAAGTCAATATAAAATGAATCAAAATCATTCAAAATCATTCTCATTTAATTATAAAGAGTTATTTGATCCCACATGACGCAAATAGCATAGAAGTATAAAGGTTGTAAAGACTGATTTTGACTCATCAGAAATATACATAAACATCATTATTTAAAGATTTCAGTAATAAATTGAATTATATCTTAAACTATTCCAATATTCTTAATATTTTGAAAGTTAATTGCTTTCACCTCTAACATAGCAAAATACCTCTGATTTATATTAAATATAACTGGGTCCAAGTTAACTAGGGTCCGAGTTGACTAGGGTCCGAGTTAACTAGGGTCCAAGTTGACTAGGGTCCGAGTTAACTAGGGTCCGAGTTGACCAGATACCACAGGAGCTATACATACACAGTCTTTCTTTCCTGAAAAATTGAACATAATTGAATAGTATTTTCAAGATATAGCAATTTCTTTGGGTTGTGTTTTTTACGTAGTCCATTTTATTTGAAAAGATTTGCCAACCGAGTGTATCACTTAAGTTGCAGACTTTTTAAATATGCAAATTTCTTTAAGTGGGACGTTAGATATGACATTTTGTTATTGAAATAGTGTGTCTTTTGTTAAATCTTTGCAATGGCGTTAAAAAATAATGTGTTTTGCAGTGTGTAGTGGAATATGTAATGATTAAACTGGATTAAAATGATTAAATTGGCGGGAAATTTGAGTATTCGAGAAATGAAAAGCTGACAAACATTTTTTCATTTTTTCCCCAAAAGCACTAAAATAACTTTAAGTTCATGAAAACTATTAAATGAAAATTTGCATGGAGTCTTTAAAATGATAATTGGTTGATATGGATTCTTTTAAATTAAATAAGTGAGTGTCCTATTTTTAAGCCCACCCTGTATATTCTTACTACAACCTTAACTTTGGATTTCCGAGCAGATTACTTCATCATAGATTTACCTGGTTTGTTTATAGGTTTTCCGGCATTAACGCAGGCGCCCCAAACTACTTTATTTGAGACTACAGTAGCAACGGTAACTGAATCTCAATCAACTGAACAATCTACCGTAACGAAAGTACCAACAACTGAGTCCATATCAACAGCTGAACCAACAACCGAGTCCATGACAACAACTGCACCAACAACCGAGGCCACATCTATAGCTGATCCTACAACTGAGGCCACATCTATAGCTGATCCTACAACTGAGGCCACATCTATAGCTGATCCTACAACTGAGACCATATCAACAGCTGAACCAACAACTGAGTCCATATCAACAGCTGAACCAACAACCGAGTCCATGACAACAACTGCACCAACAACCGAGGCCACATCTATAGCTGATCCTACAACTGAGGCCACATCTATAGCTGATTCTACAACTGAGTCCATATCAACAGCTGAACCAACAACCGAGTCCATATCAACAGCTGAACCAACAACTGAGTCCATGACAACAACTGCACCAACAACTGAGTCCATGACAACAACTGCACCAACAACCGAGGCCACATCAATAGCTGATCCTACAACTGAGGCCACATCTATAGCTGATTCTACAACTGAGTCCATATCAACAGCTGAACCAACAACCGAGTCCATATCAACAGCTGAACCAACAACTGAGTCCATGACACCAACTGCACCAACAACTGAGTCCATGACAACAACTGCACCAACAACCGAGTCCACATCTATAGCTGATTCTACAACTGAGTCCATATCAACAGCTGAACCAACAACCGAGTCCATATCAACAGCTGAACCAACAACTGAGTCCATGACAACAACTGCACCAACAACCGAGGCCACATCTATAGCTGATTCTACAATTGAGTCCATATCAACAGCTGAACCAACAACCGAGTCCATATCAACAGCTGAACCAACAACTGAGTCCATGACAACAACTGCACCAACAACCGAGGCCACATCTATAGCTGATCCTACAACTGAGACCATATCAACAGCTGAACCAACAACCGAGTCCATATCAACAGCTGAACCAACAACCGAGTCCATGGCAACAACTGCACCAACAACCGAGGCCACATCTATAGCTGATCCTACAACTGAGGCCACATCTATAGCTGATTCTACAACTGAGTCCATATCAACAGCTGAACCAACAACCGAGTCCATATCAACAGCTGCACCAACAACTGAATCCATGACAACAACTGCACCAACAACTGAGGCCACATCTATAGCTGATCCTACAATTGAGTCCATATCAACAGCTCAACAAACAACCAAGTCCATAACAACAACTGCGTCAACAACTGAGGCAACATCTATATCTGATCCTACAACTGAGTCCATATCAACAGCTGCACCAACAACTGAATCCATGACAACAACTGCACCAACAACTGAGGCCACATCTATAGCTGATCCTACAACTGAGTCCATATCAACAGCTGAACCAACAACCGAGTCCATGGTAACAACTGCACCAACAACTGAGTCTATATCAACGGCTGAACCAACAACCGAGTTCATGGTAACAACTGCACCAACAACTGAGTACATATCAATAGCTGATTTTACAACTGAGTTCATCACAACAGAAGCACCCACTACTATAGCCACATCTATGGCTGATCCTACAACTGAGTCCATTACAGCAGCTGATCTTACAACTGACTCCATATCAACAGCTGCATCAGCAACTGAGTACATATCAACAACCGATCCTACAACTGAGTTCATTTCAACAGCTGATCTAATTACTGAGTCAATAACAACGGCTGCACCAACTACTGAGTACTTATCGACAGCCGATCTTATGACTGAGTTTATAACAACATCTGCACCGACTACTGATTTTAAATCTACAGATGATCATACAACTGAGTCCTCAGCTGCACCAACTATAATTACAACCGTTAAAAGAACTGATGATGTGACAATAACAGCTGATCAAAGAACTGATGCTATGACCACATACGCTCAAACCACTGATGCTGTAGCAACAGCTGATCAAACTTCTGATGCTATATCAACAGCCGCTCAAACAACTGTTGCTATAACAACAGCAAGTCAAACATTTAATGCTATGACAACAGATTCTCAATTCTCTGCTGCAACAACATCCGCTCAATCAATTGAAGATTCCACAACAGCTGATCAAACAACTAAAGCTATAACAACAACTGCTCAAACAACTGATACCTTGACAACAGGCGCCCTAACAACAACTAATGATGCGATAACAGCTAGCTCTCAAACAACCAATGCTGTCGCTTCGACAACGGAGACATTTTTAACTGAGCCCCAACGGTTTCGATTCGGTGGTAACATACCACTCATTGATCGTATTTATACATTGACATCTGGAAAGAAAAACTTTCTGTTGAGCGATAGTGTACTTGCTAATGGAATTCTGGTTGCAGTTGAAGCCTGGATAAATGCTCTGACGTCATTTCATGTTCAAATATGGAGGCCACTTGACATTTCAACTGCCACATATCAACTCGTTGCTGATGTTTTCATTCCAGAGGAAGATATAAATCTCGATTATTTTAAGGTAAATTCATATTTAAAAACAATTTCCTGAGCATAGTGTTTAACATGTACTGTAATGATTTAATATTGAATGAATTATGCCATGGTCCTGCGGTTTTTGTATCCTGATAATAGACCGCTAATTAGTTCTAAATTGGAGAAGCAGGGAGTTGGACATTGTTTCCAAAATGCATGCATTAGACCATTTTTGTAACGCTGGGATTTGCTTCTTGTGACATTTACACCTCGTAGATCCCTGTGTGTTCTAAAATTTTGCAAGCTGTAACCGAGCTTTAGAATGTATTTGACTACTACAGTATAGTACCATAATTCTATCAATCGTTGTGTTCTTTTTTAGTACGAAATCCCTGCAAACCAGCAAGTTAACATTTCTTCAGATGACCGACTCGGGTTTTATGCACCAGAGACTCTCATTCCTATAGCGGCTGATATTGACGCTTCACAAGTTGCATTATATCAATTTCAAGAAGCATCGGCGCCGATCATGTTGGACAATCGTACATTTGATACCACAGCTTTCCCGTTTATATTTTCGTTTGCTGTTGAAATTGACACAGGTGCGTATTTTGCAAATGATTTCACACGGCGGTTGTTGTGTAGTTGTAGTAATTTGTTTCATTGAAAACATTAATGTGTTTAGAGATTAGATTTTAATGAGATTATAAAAGGCCATATGAGGGCATATAAAAAGCTAGCATGTATTTCCAGGTAACACTGTCATGACAACTGAATACACAAGAACTGATGTGGATACAACTTCTCAAACTACTACTACTGAATCTCAAACTGACTTCCGATCAACTGCATCTCAAACAACCGACTTGCCAACTACTGAATCTCAGACAACTGAATTACCAACTACTGAATTTCAAACAAGTGACTTACCAACTACTGAATCTCAAACAACCGCCTTACCATCAACTGAATCTCAAACAACTGACTTACCAACTACTGGATATCAAACAACTAACTTACAATCTACTGAATCTCAAACAACTGACTTACCATCAACTGAATCTCAAACAACTGAATTACCGACTACTGAATCTCAAACAACCGGCTTACCAACTACTGGATATCAAACAACTGACTTCCCAACTACTGAATCTCAAACAACTGACTTACCATCAACTAAATCTCAAACAACTGAATTACCAACTACTGATTCTCAAACAACTGACTTTCCACCAACTGCATCTCAAACAACTGCACTACCAACTACTAAATTTAAGACAACTGAATTACCATCAACTGAATCTCAAACAACTGAATTACCATCAACTGAATCTCAAACAACTGACTTACCATCAACTGAATCTCAGACAACTGACTTATCAACTACTGAATCTCCAACAACTGACTTGCCATCAACTAAATTTCAAACAACTGACTTACAATCAACCGAATCTCAAACAACCCACTTACCAACTACTGAATTTCAAACAACTGAATTACCATCAACTGAATCTCAAACAACTTACTTACCAATTACTGAATCTCGAACAACTTACTTACCAACTACTGAATCTCAGACAACCGACTTACCAACTACTGAATCTCAAACAACTGACTTGCCATCAACTGAATCTCAAACAACTGACTTGCCATCAACTGAATCTCAAATAACTGACTTACCAACTACTGAATCTCAAACAACTGACTTGCCATCAACTAAATCTCAAACAACTGACTTACCATCAACTGAATCTCAAACAACTGACTTACCATCAACTGAATCTCAAACAACTGACTTGCCATCAACTGAATCTCAAACAACTGACTTACCAACTACTGCATCTCAAACAACTGACTTGCCATCAACTAAATCTCAAACAACTGACTTACCATCAACTGAATCTCAAACAACTGACTTACCATCAACTGAATCTCAAACAACTGACTTGCCATCAACTGAATCTCAAACAACTGACTTACCAACTACTGCATCTCAAACAACTGACTTGCCATCAACTGAATCTCAAACAACTGACTTACTATCAACTGAATCTCAATCAACTGACTTACCAACTATTGAATCACAAACAACTGACTTACTTACTACTGAATCTCAAACAACTGACTTACCAATTACTGAATCTCAAACAACTGACTTACAATCGACTGAATCTCACACAACTAACTTACCATCAACTGAATCTCAAACAACTGACTTTCCAACCACTGCATCTCAAACAACTGACTTGCCATCAACCGAATCTCAAACAACCGACTTACCAATTACTGAATCTCAAACAACTGACTTACCGTCTACTGAATCTCAAACAACTGGCTTACCAACTACTAAATCTCAAACAACTGACTTAGAAACTACTGAATCTCAGACAACTGAATTACCAACTACTGACTCTCAAATAACTGAATTACCAACTACTGAATCTCAAACAACCGGCTTACCATCAACTGAATCTCAAACAACTGACTTACAAACTACTGAATCTCAAACAACTGGCTTACCAACTACTAAATCTCAAACAACTGACTTACAAACTACTGAATCTCAAACAACTGGCTTACCAACTACTAAATCTCAAACAACTGACTTAACAACAACTGAATCTCAGACAACTGAATTAGCAACTACTGAATCTCAAACAACCGCCTTACCATCAACTGAATCTCAAACAACTGACTTACAAACTACTGTATCTCAAACAACCGACTTACAATCAACTGAATTTCAAACAACTGACTTACCAACTACTGAATCTCAAACAACTGACTTGCCAACTACTGAATCTCAAACAACTGAACTACCAACTACTGACTTTCAAACAACTTACTCAACATCAACTGAATCTCAAACAACTGACTTACCATCAACCGAATCTCAAACAACTGACTTACCAACTACTGAATCTCAGACAACTGACTTACTTACTATTGAATCTCAAACAACTGAATTACCAACTACTGAATCTCAAACAACTGAATTAGAAACAACTGAATCTCAGACAACTGAATTACCAACTACTGAATCTCAAATAACTGAATTACCAACTACTGAATATCAAACAACTTACTTACAATCAACTGAATCTCAAACAACTAACTTACCAACTACTGAATCTCAAACAACTGACTTACCAACTACTGAATCTCAGACAACTGAATTACCAACTACTGAATCTCAAATAACTGAATTACCAACTACTGAATCCCAAACAACTGCCTTACCATCAACTAAATCTCAAACAACCGACTTACCAACTACTAAATCAGAAACAACTGACTTACAATCTACTGAATCTCAAACAACTGAATTAGAAACAACTGAATCTCAGACAACTGAATTACCTACTACTGAATCTCAAATAACTGAATTACCAACTACTGAATATCAAACAACTGACTTACAATCAACTGAATCTCAAACAACTAACTTACCAACTACTGAATCTCAAACAACTGACTTACCAACTACTGAATCTCAGACAACTGAATTACCAACTACTGAATCTCAAATAACTGAATTACCAACTACTGAATCTCAAACAACTGCCTTAACATCAACTGAATCTCAAACAACCGACTTACCAGCTACTAAATCACAAACAACTGACTTACAATCTACTGAATCTCAGACAACTGAATTAACAAATACTGAATCTCAAACAACCGACTTTACAACTACTGAATCTCAAACAACAAACTTACAAATTACTGAATCTCAAATAACTGACTTCCCAACTACTGAATCTCAGACAACTGAATTACCAACTACTGAATCTCACACTTTAGACTTACCAACTACTGAATCTCAAACAACTGACTTGCCAACTACTGGATATAAAACAACTAACTTACAATCTACTGAATCTCAAACAACCGACTTACCAAATACTGGCTTACAAACAACTCAATCTCAAACAACTGGTTTACTAACTACTGAATATCAAACAACTAACTTACAATCTACTGAATCTCAGACAACTGAATTAACAACTACTGAATCTCAAACAACCGACTTTCCAACTACTGAATCACAAACAACTGAATTACCAAATACTGGATCTCAAACGACCGACTTACCAACTACTGAATCTCAAACAACCGACTTACCATCAACTGAATCTCAAACAACTGACTTACCATCAACTGAATCTCACACCACTGAATTACCAACTACTGAATCTCAAACAACCGACTTACCAAATACTGGATCTCAAACGACCGATTTACCAACTACTGAATCTCAAACAACTGACTTACCAACTACTGAATCTCAAACAACTGACTTACCAACTACTGAATCTCAAACAACTGACTTACCAACTACTGAATCTCAAACAACTGAATTAGCAACTACTGAATCTCAAACAACCGCGTTACCATCTACTGAATCTCAGACAACTGAATTACCATCAACTGAATCTCAAACAACTGACTTACCATCAACTGAATTACAAACAACTGAATTACCAACTACTGAATCTCAAACAACTGACTTACCAACTACTGAATCTCAAACAACTGACTTACCAACTATTGAATCTCAAACAACTGACTTACCAACTACTGAATCTCAAACAACTGAATTAGCAACTACTGAATCTCAAACAACCGCGTTACCATCTACTGAATCTCAGACAACTGAATTACCATCAACTGAATCTCAAACAACTGACATACCATCAACTGAATTACAAACAACTGAATTACCAACTACTGAATCTCAAACAACTGAATTAACAACTACTGAATCTCAAACAACCGACTTACCAACTACTGAATCTCAAACAACCGACTTACCATCAACCAAAACTCAAACAACCGACTTACCATCAACCGAATCTCAAACAACTGACTTACATACTACCGAATCTCAAACAACTGACTTACTAACTACTAAATCTCAGACAACTGAATTGCAAACTACTGAATCTCAAATAACTGAATTACCAACTACCGAATCTCAAACAACTGACTTACCATCAACTGAATCTCAAACAACTGACATACCAACTACTGAATCTCAAACAACTGACTTGCCATCAACTAAATCTCAAACAACTAACTTACAATCTACTGAATCTCAGGCAACTGAATTAACAACTACTGAATCTCAAACAACTGAATTAACAACTACTGAATCTCAAACAACCGACTTACCAACTACTGAATCTCAAACAACCGACTTACCATCAACTGAATCTCAAACAACCGACTTACCATCAACCGAATCTCAAACAACTGACTTACATACTACCGAATCTCAAACAACTGACTTACTAACTACTAAATCTCAGACAACTGAATTACAAACTACTGAATCTCAAATAACTGAATTACCAACTACCGAATCTCAAACAACTGGCTTACAAACAACTGAATCTCAAACAACTGACTTACAAACTACTGAATCTCAGACAACTGAATTATCAACTACTGGATATCAAACAACTGACTTACAATCTACTGAATCTCAAACAACCGACTTACCAACTACTGAATCTCAAACAACTGAACTACCAACTACTGACTTTCAAACAACTGACTTACCATCAACTGAATCTCAAACAACTGACTTGCCAACTACTGGATATCAAACAACTAACTTACAATCTACTGAATCTCAGACAACTGAAGTAACAACTACTAAATCTCAAACAACCGACTTACAAACTACTGTATCTCAAACAACCGACTTACAAACTACTGTATCTCAAACAACCGACTTACAATCTACTGAATCTCAAACAACTGACTTACAAACTACTGTATCTCAAACAACCGACTTACCATCTACTGAATCTCAAACAACTGACTTACAAACTACTGTATCTCAAACAACCGACTTACCATCTACTGAATCTCAAACAACTGACTTTCCACCAACTGCATCTCAAACAACCGACTTACCAACTACTGGATCTCAAACAACTGACTTCCCAACTACTGAATCTCAGACAACTGAATTACAAAGAACTGAATCTCAGTCAACTGAATTACCAACTACTGAATCTCAAACAACCGACTTACAAACTACTGTATCTCAAACAACCGACTTACCATCTACTGAATCTCAAACAACTGACTTTCCACCAACTGCATCTCAAACAACCGACTTACCAACTACTGGATCTCAAACAACTGACTTCCCAACTACTGAATCTCAGACAACTGAATTACAAAGAACTGAATCTCAGTCAACTGAATTACCAACTACTGAATCTCAAACAACCGACTTACCATCAACTGAATCTCAATCAACTGACTTACCAACTACTGGATATCAAACAACTAACTTACAATCTACTGAATCTCAAACAACCGACTTACCAACTACTGAATCTCAAACAACTGAACTACCAACTACTGAATTTCAAACAACTGACTTAACATCAACTAAATCTCAAACAACTGACTTACCATCAACTGAATCTCAAACAACTGACTTAACAACTACTGAATCTCAAACAACTGAATTACCAACTACTGAATCTGAGACAACTGACTTACAAACAACTGAATCTCAAACAACTGACTTACCATCAACTGAATCTCAAACAACTGACTTTCCAACTACTGAATCTCAATCAACCGACTTACCAACTACCGAATCTCAAACAACCGACTTACCAACTACTGAATCTCAGACAACTGAATTACCAACTAATGAATTTCAAACAACTGACATACCAACAACTGAATATCAAACAACTGAATTACCAACTACTGAATCTCAAACAACCGACTTCCCATCAACTGAATCTCAAACAACTGACTTACCAACTACTAAATTTCAAACAACTGACTTACCAACTACTGAATCTCAAATAACTGACTTACTAACCACTGAATCTCAAACAACTGAATTACCAGCTGCTGAATCTCAAACAACTGACTTACCAACTACTGAATCTCAAATAACTGACTTACCAACTACTGAATCTCAAATCACTGCCTTACCAACTACTGAATCTCAAACAACTGACTTCCCAACTACTGAATCTCAGACAACTGAATTACAAACAAATGAATCTCAGACAACTGAATTACCAACTACTGAATCTCAAACAACCGACTTACCATCAGCTGAATCTCAAACAACCGACTTCCCATCAACTGAATCTCAAACAACTGACTTACCAACTACTAAATTTCAAACAACTGACTTACCATCAACTGAATCTCAAACAACTGACTTGCCATCAACCGAATCTCAAACAACCGACTTACCATCAACTGAATCTCAAACAACCGACTTACCATCAACTGAATCTCAAACAACTGACTTACAAACTACTAAATCTCAAACAACTGACTTATCAACTACTGGATATCAAACAACTAACTTACAATCTACTGAATCTCAGACAACCGACTTACCAACTACTGAATCTCAAACAACTGAACTACCAACTACTGAATTTCAAACAACTGACTTACCATCAACTGAATCTCAAACAACTGACTTACCATCTACTGAATCTCAAACAACTGACTTTCCATCAACTGAATCTCAAACAACCGACTTACCAATTACTGAATCTCAAACAACTGACTTACCGTCTACTGAATCTCAAACAACTGGCTTGCCATCTACTGAATCTCAAACAACTGAACAACCAACTACTGAATTTCAAACAACTGACTTACCATCAACTGAATCTCAAACAACTGACTTAACATCAACTAAATCTCAAACAACTGACTTACCATCAACTGAATCTCAAACAACTGACTTAACAACTACTGAATCTCAAACAACTGAATTACCAACTACTGAATCTGAGACAACTGACTTACCATCAACTGAATCTCAAACAACTGACTTGCCATCAACCGAATCTCAAACAACCGACTTACCAATTACTGAATCTCAAACAACTGACTTACCGTCTACTGAATCTCAAACAACTGGCTTGCCATCTACTGAATCTCAAACAACTGAACTACCAACTACTGAATTTCAAACAACTGACTTACCATCAACTGAATCTCAAACAACTGACTTAACATCAACTAAATCTCAAACAACTGACTTACCATCAACTGAATCTCAAACAACTGACTTAACAACTACTGAATCTCAAACAACTGAATTACCAACTACTGAATCTGAGACAACTGACTTACCATCAACTGAATCTCAAACAACTGACTTACCATCAACTGAATCTCAAACAACTGACTTTCCAACCACTGAATCTCAATCAACCGACTTACCAACTACTGAATCTCAAACAACCGACTTACCAACTACTGAATGTCAGACAACTGAATTACCAACTACTGAATCTCAAACAACTGACATACCAACAACTGAATATCAAACAACTGAATTACCAACTACTGAATCTCAAACAACCGACTTACCATCAACTGAATCTCAAACAACTGACTTACCAACTACAAAATTTCAAACAACTGACTTACCATCAACTGAATCTCAAACAACTGACTTACCATCAACTGAATCTCAAACAACTGAATTACCAACTACTGATTCTCAAACAACCGGCTTACCAACTACTGGATATCAAACAACTGACTTCCCAACTACTGAATCTCAAACAACAGACTTACCAACTGCTGAATCTCAAATAACTGACTTACTAACCACTGAATCTCAAACAACTGAATTACCAGCTGCTGAATCTCAAACAACTGACTTACCAACTACTGAATCTCAAATAACTGACTTACCAACTACTGAATCTCAAATAACTGACTTTACAACTACTGAATCTCAAACAACTGACTTGCCATCAACTGAATCTCAAACAACTGACTTACCATCAACGGAATCTCAGACAACTGAATTACCAACTACTGAATCTCAAACAACTCAATTACCAACTACTGAATCTCAAACAACCGACTTACAATCAACTGAATCTCAAACAACTAACTTACCATCAACTGAATCTCACACTACCGACTTAACAACTTCTGAATCTCAAACAACTGACTTCCCAACTACTGAATCTCAGACAACTAAATTACCAACTACTGAATCTCAAACAACCGGCTTACCAACTACTGGATATCAAACAACTGACATACCCATTTCTTTGTCTCACACAACTGACTTACCAAATATTGGATCTAACACAACTGACTTGCCAACTACAGAATCTCATACAACTGACTTGCAAAGTATTGAACCTCAAACAACTGACATACAAACTACTGAATTTCAACCAACTGACTTACCATCTTCTGGATCTCACACAACTAACTTGCAAAGAACTGCAACTTACTCACAATTTTCTGAATCTCAAACAACTGACTTACCACCTACTGAATCTCAGACAGCAGACTTAAAAACTTCCGAATCGAGAACAACAAATTTCCAAACTACTGATTCACAAATGATTGACTCGCAATCTACTGGATCTCAGACAACTGATTTACAATCTACTGATTCTCAAACAACTGACTTAAAAACTACCGAATCTCAAACAACTGGCTTACCACCTACTGAATCCCAAACAGCAGACTTGATAACTACCGAATCGAGACCAACTAATTTACTAACTACTGATTCACAAACGACTGACTTGCAATCTACTAGATCTCAGACAACTGACTTGCCATCGACTGAATCTGAAATAACGGATTTGAAGACTACTGAGTTTCAAACAACTAATTCACCAGCCACTGAATTTCAGACAACTTACTCACCATCTACTAAATCTCAAACAACGAACTTGCAAACTACTGACTTGCCACCTACGACTTTCTTGCCATCTACTGGATCTCAAACAACTGACGTACAAACTACTGAATCTCAATCTACTGACTCATCAGCTACTGACTCCACAATGACTGACTCGCCCTCTACTGAATCCAAAACAACTGACTTGCAAACTTCTGAATCTCAAACAACTTATTTACCAACTATGGAATCACAAACGAATGACTGGCCATATAGTAGATCTCAGACAACGGACTTGCCGTTAACTAAATCTCAAACAACTAACTTGCAAACGACTGAATCTGGAACAACTTATATACCAACAACTGAATCAAAAACGACTTTCTTGCCATCTACTGGATCTCTGACTGACTTACAAACCACTGAATCTCAAACAACTGACTTTCTTGCTACTTCCTCACAAACGACTAACTTGCCATCTACTGGATCTCAAACAGCTGACTTGATATCTATTCAGACTGATTTACCAACTACTGAATTCAAAACAAATGACTTGACCGCGACTCAATCTCAAAAAACTGACGCAACTACTGTATTTGTATTTCCAGGTTACTCTGTCACGTCAGCCGAGTATCCAAGTACAAGTGTGCAAACTACCCGACAAACACCGAGTACTGAATCTCAAACAACTTACTTGCCAACAAGTGACTTTCCTAATACAAAGCATCAAACAACTGACGTATTAACTAATGAATCTAAAACAACGTACTTACCTACTACTGATCATCAAACAACTGAGTTTCCAGTTACTGAATCTCAATCCACTGACGTGCCATCTATTGGACCTCAAACAACTGAATTGCCAGCAACTAAGTCTCAAACCACTGACTTGCTATCTACTGAACCTCAAACAACTGAATTACCAATAACTGAATCTCAAACAACTGACTTGCCATCTACTAATCCTCAAACAACTGATTTGCCAGCAACTAAATCTCAAACCACTGACTTGCCATCTATTGAACCTCAAACAACCGAATTACCAATTACTGAATCTCAAACAACTGGCTTACCATCTACTAAACCTCAAACAACTGAATTGCCAGCAACTAAATCTCAAACCACTGACTTGCCCTCTACTGAACCTCAAACAACTGAATTGCCAGCAACTAAATCTCAAACAACTGACTTGCCATCTACTGAACCTCAAACAACTGAATTACCACAACCTGAATCTCCAACAACTGGCTTGCCATCTACTGAACCTCAAACAACTGAATTACCAATTACTGAATATCAAACCACTGACCCGCCATCTACTGATTATCAGATAACTGAATTGCCAGCAACTGGATCTCAAACAACTGATTTAACAACTACCGAATCTACACCAACTGATTTGCTAAGTACTACATTTCTAAAAACTGAGGTGCCAACTACTGAATCTCAAACAACTGTTGCGCCATTCACTGCAACTGAAAGAACTGATTTACAAACCACTGAACTTCAATCAACTTACTTAGCTACGACTGAATTCCAAACTGAAACTATAACAACAATCGCCCAAACATCAGAGGCATTAAGTACTGAGTCCCAACAGTTTCGATTCCGTGGTAATATTCCAGTCATTGATCGCATTTTTACATTGACATCTGGAAAGAAAAGTTTTGTGATGAGCGAGACAATACTTGCAGATGGAGTTCTTGTTGCAGTTGAAGCGTGGATAAATGCTCTGACGTCATTCCATGTTCAAATATGGAGGCCAGTGAACATATCAACTGCCACATATCAGCTTATTGCTGATGTTTTCATTGCAGAAGAAGATGTAAATCTAGATTATTTTAAGGTAAATATTCAGCTTTAGGAATTCCATCGAAGATATCAAACTAGGAAAATGTATCATTTAATGATATTTACTTAATGAGAATAGAATAAATGGTTTGGGGTGCCTCTGGGGCCTCATTATGGGTGAATATACACTACAAGTGCTGTGCATTTCACGCCAAAACACAAATGATACTTGAATTCTATAAGTCTATATACTTTGCATTCTTTTCAGTATGACATTCCTGCAGATCAGCAAGTCGACATATCTTCAAATGACAGACTGGGATTTTATGCACCAGAGACTCTCATTCCAATAGCGGCTGATATTGACCCTTCACAAACTGCCCTATATCAATTTGCTGAAGTGTCAGCGCCGATCGTGTCGGACAATCGCACATTCGATACCACACCTTTTCCGTTTATATTTTCCTTTGCAGTTGAAATTGACACAGGTAAATATTTACAATAATTCTATTAAGCATCGTGTAAAATATTTACGATTAATGGATATCATAGTTCAGTGTCTTAATAGACCTTGTCATCATAATGTTACATATTTTTCTTGTGAGAGCTACTAACACAAAAGGGCTCGCTGATGATTTAATGATTATATTATTCAAGGTTATCCTGTCACAACAGCTGAATATCCGAGAAGCTCTATGCAAACTACTGGAGCAACTGCAGTCTCAAAAACTGAATTACAAACAACGAACTTGCCACCTACAAATCCACAAACTACCGAATTTCAAACAACGGAATTATCAACTGCTGAATCTAGAACGAACTCACAAACTACTGAATTTCTAACAACGGGCTTGTCAACCATTGAATCCCAAACCACGGACTTGCCAACTACTGAATCTCAGACAACACATTTACCGACGACTAACTCTCAAACAACGGACTTGCCAACTACTGAATCTCAAACAACGGGCTTGTTAACTACTGAATCGCAAACAACGGACTCGCTAACTACTGAGTCTCAAACAACGGACCTGCCAACTACTGAATCTCAAACAACGGGCTTGTTAACTACTGAATCTCGAACAACTGACTTCGCAACTACTGAATCTCAAACAACGGGCTTGGTATCTACTGAATCTCAAACAACGGGCTTGTTAACTACTGAATCTCGAACAACTGACGACGCAACTACTGAATCTCAAACAACGGGCTTGTTAACTACTGAATCTCGAACAACTGACGACGCAACTACTGAGTCTCAAACAACGGACTCGCTAACTACTGAGTCTCAAACAACGGACTCGCTAACTACTGAATCTCGAACAACTGACGACGCAACTACTGAATCTCAAACAACGGACTCGCTAACTACTGAGTCTCAAACAACGGACTCGCTAACTACTGAATCTCGAACAACTGACGACGCAACTACTGAGTCTCAAACAACGGACTCGCTAACTACTGAATCTCAAACAACGGACTCGCTAACTACTGAATCTCGAACAACTGACTTCGCAACTACTGAATCTCAAACAACGGACTCGCTAACTACTGAGTCTCAAACAACGGGCTTTTTAACTTCTAAATCTCAAACAACTGACTTGCCAACTAGTAAATCACAAACAACGTACTTGCCAACCAATGAATCTCAAACAACATACGTGTCAACCACCTATTCTCAAACAACTGACTTGCTATATACTGGCTTGTCAACAACTGGATCTCAAACAACAGACACGGCAGCCATTGTATCTCCAACAACTGGCTTGCTATCTACTGAATCTCAAACAATGGGGTTGTCAACCACTGAATCTCAAACTACGGACATGCCAACTACTGAATCTCAAAGAACGGACTTGCCAACTAATGAATCTCAATCAACAGACATGTCAACCATTGAATCTCAAACAACTGGCTTTTTATCTACTGGATCTCAAACAACAGACAAGTCAACCTCGGAATCTCTAGCAACTGGCTTGCCAACCACTCAGCCTCAAACTACGGACTTGCCAACTACTAACTCTCAAAAAACCGATTTGCCAAGCACTGATCCTCAAACAACTGCCTTGCTGTCTACTGAAAATCAAACAACAAATTTGCCAACTACTGCATCTCAAACAACTGGCTTGCAATTTACCGAGCCTCAACCAACTGACTCGCCAACTACTGGGTCTCAAACAATGGGCTTATTAACTTCTGAATCTCAAGCGACAGACTTGCCAACTACTGAATCTCAAACAACAGACTTGCAAAGTACTGAATCTCAAACAATAGACTTGCAAAGTACTGAATCTCAATCAACAGACATGCCAATCTCTGAATCCCAAACAACAGGTTTGCCATCTACTATATATCAAACAACGGATATGCAAAGTACTGAACCAAAAACTCACGTGCCAACCACTGGAACTCAAACAGACTTGCCAACCACCGAACCTCATATATCCGACTTGCAAACAACTGAATCTCAAACAGCGAACTTGTCAACTACTGAATCTCAAACACCAGACTTGCGAACTAGTGAATCTCAAACAACTGACTTGCCAACAACTGAATCCAAAACAATGTCGTATACTTCTGCTGCTAGTATAACTTCGGACGCATTTGAAGGTACATCTAATAATTCTGGAATACATACGTCTGAAACAACAACTTCCTCAATAGGTACTACATTAGAAGTAACAACACATGAGAGCGAATCAACTGCGTTGGACATCATTACGACTGAGCTAACAGCAACGGTTACAATTCCAATTGTCGAAGTAGTAAAGTTCAATGGCACAGTTCGGATCACAAAGCACAACGGAGAAGTTGCACAGTTCAACGCCTCCCTGAATGACCCAAGTTCAGCATACTACAAGATGTTGGAAAACGAAACATGCACGGAAGTTAGTATTGTACTCTGATGGCAGTGATGCCTATGAACCATAGATTTAGTGCCTGGTTGATGCTTTTTGCATTGTATTGATGCTCATTGCATTGTATCGATACTCATTGCATTGTATCGATGCTCATTGCATTGCATTGATGCTCATTGCATTGTATTGATGCTCATTGAATTGCATTGATGCTCATTGCATTGTATTGATGCTCATTACATTGCATTGATGCTCATTGCATTGTATTGATGCTTATTGTATTGTATTGATGCTCATTGCATTGCATTGATGCTCATTGCATTGTATTGATGCTCATTGCATTGTATTGATGCTCATTGCATTGTATTGATGCTCATTGCATTGTATTGATGCTCATTGCATTGTATTGATGCTCATTGCATTGCATTGATGCTCATTGCATCGTATTGATGCCCATTGCATCGCATTGATGCTCATTGCATTGTTTTGATGCTCATTGCATTGTATTGATGCTCATTGCGTACACCAGCAAATGAAAATCCCAAACTTTGAGACTAACCCATAATTTCCACATCTTTGTATTTTTCTAGATCGGCGTTGCATTCTCAAATTCCACATTCTCCGCTGTCTATTCATCTTGCTCTGTTATCGGATTTTCGGCAGGGAGCGTAATTGCCAATTTCGAATTAGGATTCTTACAATACACAAATGGGAATCTGACCAAGAGTAATCTAACCTCTGAAAGTGCTCAAAATGAGATGAGAGAAAACATAGCAACATCAATTACTTCAATTGAATTTGAACCAGTTACTGCAACTTTATCAGGTAAGCAACACCGACACCGACAATGTAACTGTAATGTGATATAATATAATATACTATAATATAATGTAGTGAAGTGTAATGTAATGTTATGTAATGTAATGTTATGTAATGTAGTGTAGTGTAATATAATGTACTGTAGTGTGATGTGATGTGACATGATGTTTAACCAATCTAAGAAAGGTCAACAATGATACATATTTTCAGATGTGAACGAGTGTTTAGAAAACTCTGACGAGTGCTCTGTGTTTGCTACGTGTACAAACACAGACCCAGGTTACAGTTGTGAATGCATGGAAGGCTACGTGGATAAGTCAGGGTCGGGCCTCCAAGGGCGGGTGTGTAGCGTTCCAACGACTACCACAGGACCATTGTCTACCTTGTTCAAACTGTCATCTTTATCAACAACTCAAGAAGAAAACACAGCTGATCCAAAAACACCTGCGTCATCAACTGTTACATCAGATCAGTTAACGTCCACGACCTCGCCATTGACAACGGATTCCCTGGTTACCACAATGGCGGCTGTCTTGACAACCGTGTTTACATCCGCGTCTAC